TATATATATAGATTTTGGAAACAAAAAATTCAGATTTAGACATATTTCACTCAAAAGTTGAAGGTTTCTTGTTGCCAGGTCTCTTTTTACACAAATTTGTTTAACATGAGCAGACATGGTCTGTTTTCTTTATTGCRTTAGGATTAAGTTGCACTTTGTCAAAATGCTTAATCAGAAAAGCTGTATTTTGCCCAAAATCTATGGTTTTATTGTGTTACTATTTTAATTAACTAATAAGCTTTTCTAAGAACTCCATGAACTCATTGCTGCATCAAGCTGAGGTTGACATTTACATCAAGCTTATGTTAGTTTTCCAAGATTTTCACCAGACTCTCATACCTAAATAAAGCTTAACTTAACATGGCTTCAAATAAGTTTAACATTTTTTTTTGTTTAAAGCTAAATCTGTAATACATTTACCACATAGTGTAGCTGTGAAGACTTTGGTTTTTGACAGTTCTTTTAAAAATAATTTGAGAGAAACTGAACCATTTTGTTTTATTTTTATTCTCAATGAGCTGCAGAGACGATTTATTTGAGGGGGGGGAAAACTGTGAAAATACAAGATGTTTCCACAATTCCTCCTCTGAGTCCTTCGGTGACCTGACTGAAATCCAGAATGTCATCGTTTGCATCAGAGGCGGCTGGTAAAAGTGCAAATTTAAATTGAAATGCCAAAGAAACCCCCCCAAAAGTAGCATCGATACACTGTTGGGGATATTTATTGTTGTCGTTGTCCTTTTGTTTATTTGTCTTTGGGTCAGGATTCTGAATGCCAGTGCGCCCGTAAAGACATGCAGCGGTGTATGAGGTTGTCACGGATGTGAGGCTCTGAGAAAGCAGATGTGACGTGAATGTGAAGATGGCAAAAAAAAAACGGATGGAGAAAAAAAAGAAGTCTTGGAGCTTAGTGAGATCAATGACTGCTTACAGTGATCTTCTCCTCATGCACAGAAGCTCACAAACATGCACACATTCTGATGTACTGACACACACACCACAGGGCTTTGATATGCATGAGAGCAGCAGATACTATTGGCAGGTCTCATTTTCATAGTCAATTTCATCCTGACTTATAGCCCTCAGCCCACACTCCCCCTCTCGTCCTCCTCTCTCTCTCCGTCCATCCGTCCGTCTTTCAGTCTATGTTTCCATCCGCTCCCTCTGTTAGCGAGTGATCTACGCTCATGCAGTAATATTGATTACAGCCTTCAGCTCAGTAGCTGTGAAGTTCGTTCCTTTTTATGAGTTGGGGCAGTGCTGTATCTGTGAGGCTGCTCTGTTGTTTTGTATTTTTTTTTTTTATTATTTTTGAGGCTTCTTCTCTGACCTGACCATCTGAACCTGAGGGGAAAAAAACTTGGGTTAAACTGATACAACTGCGATTAGAAATCAAATTATTTCGTGTGTGTGTGTGTGTGTGTGTGTGTGTGTGTGTGTGTGTTTCTCTGAGGTTTCTCATGCTGCAGCTGTGTGAGGGGGCATTGCATTTTCATTAGAGATGGGTTAACTTTAATGATGGCTTTATCTTTTTCTAACTTCCAAACTATCTCGTGGTGTACAGATCACACTCCCTTATATTTCACACTTTAGTTTAAAATATCTCTCTCCTTGTCCTCTCTCCTCTCCGGTGCTGCGTCTGTGCTCCAAGCCTACCAATTAAGGGTTTGCCAGCCTCCTCCAGAAGTGCCCAACGCTGACATACTGATGGAGGACGGCGAGTTGGAGATAGGTGAGCTGTCTGTCTACCTGTCAGGCTCCTGACGGGTCAATCTGACATACAAACTGGAAACTTGAGACTTTCTGGTCGCCAGTAAGATAACACAAATCCTCCACTCCTCAAAAAATGCAGCTAAAACACAACATGCTTAGTGGTTTACATTTGTGTTAGTGGGTTCTTTTGTATTTATTTATTATTATTATTATTTTGTCTTTACAGTTAAGCTCTTTTAAAATGAGGTTATGAGCATTTAATGTCTCTTTAAATAACCTGAGTTTGGAGAAATAGCATTTTATTCTGATTTTCTTGATGGTTAGTCAGAGTGAAACCAGAACCAAAGTTGATTTTTAACGTCTTAAAACAACTTTAATTACTTTGAATGATTTGATTTGATTTGATTTATTGATTTAACAGGAAAAGATTACTAAAAATCAAGCCTGACTCAGCATAATTGCTGTTTTACAGCAGGTTCCTGTTCTGCAGCACATAAAACACTCAGAAATACAGCATCACGATCACATCATTATACACCATAGACACAAAGACAAACAAGCATACCAAATTTCAGGAAGGCAGCATTTGCAAAATAGGATGTCTAAATATGAGCACAACAAAAAGTGTCCAGCAGATGGCAGACAAGATTCTTCTTAAAGGGCTGTAGTTTTGAAATGGACTTTATGTTTTGAGGAATGTCATTCCATGCTTTAGTATAAACATAGAAGAAWGACCTCTGGCCGTAACAGTTTTTCAAAGTTGGTAATATCAGTTGTCCTTTTGTAACAGATCTAGTTGAATGACCACTTCCAGAATTTGATTTGGGCAGCAATGCACAGAGAGTTCCATAATTGGCACCTTGGAAGATCTGAAAAAATAACATTAATACCACTATACAAAACATAACACACATAATCACATTCTGAAAAGTCAAGGCATCAGACAATGAAAGAACTGTACAGTGATGAGTCCTACCAGGAAGTTTTTTATGAATTTTGTAGGCCCTGTTGTAGAGCCTAACTATGGGTTCTAAGATTTCATTTGTTGTAAGAGACCAAACAGGTAAAAACTTTAACATTGAGCAGTTATTATACAGGCTTCTTCTGTTATGTGCTGGCACAAAAAAGCAGCATCAGCTCGCTGTAGCACATCCAGCAGCTTGGAGCACTTCCAACAGGAATGATTTGTTTCTGCAGGAATAACTTTGTAATGTGAAATTTGAAGGGCTTTTAAATATGGTAAATTTACACCAGCAGTTAGTTTATCTATCTAGTCAGATTTATACTCTAAAAATTTCTCCAAGCTTGGGTTTTTTAAAGAACTTTCAAAAAGAGCGAACACKGTTCACTTGACAGACAACACAATTTATAATATTTATTTATTTATTTATTTATTTATTTTCTGTGGGAGTGATTCAAACTTTCTGGAATCCATTTATTTGATTTTTTTAAAGGCAGCATTAGATTTGAAAAAAGCATTAACCAACTGCATTTACTGTCAGCAGCTTTCAGAAATTTTTGAGGCCATGTGGGTCATGTAACTACAGAATTCTCTGATTTTGCTGTAGCTGCCTGAGAACATTTGTATGTAAGAAATTTTCTAAATGTCAGTTTTGATAAAAAAAAAGGAACAAATTATTTTCACATTTAAGTATAGTTATTTATACAGCAGGGGTATTCAGCTAAATTGTTTGGGGGGACACTTAAAATTTACAATTTATTTAAAATGATTTATTTATTGTTGTTATTAAATTAAGTTATCATCAACTGTCTGAAGGGAAATGACATCTGGCCTGTGGGCCACCACTTGAATAGCCCTGTTATACAGTATTGAACAAGATGCAGTGGGTTGAAATTTTAAAAAAAAAACTCAAATCTCTAGATTGTTTACACATTTTAGTGGAATTTAATGCCTCAGCTTCACCAACCTGTTTATTTTTTATTTAAAGTATTTCCCTGTTATTGATTGTGTGCCTCCAGGTGACATCATCAGATACAAATGCCATCCTGGATTCTCATTGGTTGGCAGCGAGATTCTAACCTGTCGCTTAGGAGAGAGGCTACAGATGGATGCTCCGCCTCCAATATGCCAAGGTGCTAATTAAGATTTCCAGGAATGGATTCTGACAGCTTTGAAGACAACAGTGTGCGCTCACCTGACGTAGCTTCACCTTCACTTCTTTTCTCGCCCTTCCAGTTCAGTGTCCTGCCCACGACGTGCGATATGACTCATCGGGTGTCATCCTGAGCCCAGGCTGGCCAGAAAGCTACCCCAACCTCCAAATGTGCTCATGGAGCGTAAACGTGGAAAAGGGCTACAATGTCACCATAACCTTTGAGAGCTTCCACACGGAGAGAGAATTCGATGTGCTGGAGATTTTTGACGGTAACAGAACAAAATTCAAAACAAAACAGAAATGAAAGCAGATTTTGTCAGAACCACGTTTGAGCACTTTTAATGCCAATTTTAGGTTGGAAGAGCAGCAAACCAATGACATTTCCACTCTTTCATTTATTTATTTTTTTGTCACTCTTGTTGTTTTTCTTGCACCTTTTTTTCATCCTCTCTCTCTCAGGCCCCACCCCCAACAGTCCAACTCTGGCGACTCTGAGCGGTGACCTGCCCACACCCTTTAACATCACAACCTCTGGGCACCAGTTTCTAGTCCGCTGGTCCTCTGACCATGGCACCAACAAGAAGGGCTTCAAAATTCGCTATGTTGGTGAGTACCAAAGTATGTATCCCAACTTTACTACTATTTCATAATATAATGCATGAAAATACAGATAAAGGTAAAAAGAGACAGACAGAAGAACTGGAAATGCATTCTTCATTTAATAAACTTTATAAAATCATGAAAACAGTGTTGACATCGTTTCTTTAAAGATGTGACATATGTTGAATTTGTTAGTAGAAATTTGTGTAGCAATAACAAAAAAAATGTTCATCTTAAGCCTATCTTCCAGCAAGACTTCTGTCTGTCTCCCTAAACAGCTCACTGAAATGCATTATGGGTTCGTCCTTAATAGGATGGTTCAGATCTTTTGAAGTGGGGTTGTATAGAAAGGTTATGAACAGTTAATATCTAACTTGCCGAAGACAGGTCTTTAAATGATTTCAATTTGGAGAGAAACTTGAATGACGAGCTAATATGAAGTCAAACTGGGGCCAGGAGCAAAATACTTTAGCGCCGTCTTATAACAAGTCTATCCTCTAAAGAATTCTAAATGGTTCAAACAAGCACTAATTTAAAAAAAAACATCTGTCATGGGGCCATAAAGTTTGTTAATTATTTATTTATGTTATGAATTTTTTGAAACAAAAAAAAAAGTTCAGAGCAACTCATATTCTATTTTTTTCAGTTTTATTATTTATTTATTTAATTTTTTTTCAGTTTCGAACTTCTTGACCTGTTTTAGGGGCGGGGCCTCAGATGACAGTAGGTGTGGAATCATGATTGACACTTTTTTTTGTTCAGTTTCAAATCTTTTTATTTTTTAGTTTCTTATATATACATAAGTTTCCTTTTTTTTTCTTTCAGTTTTATTTTTTTCTTTTAAACAAACTTTATGGCCCCTATTTAGCACCACTACCTTTACTATGATATGCAATATGATCAACACTAATAATTCATCAAACTGAATTTTTTCAAATATCTATCTTCAACAGGTAAGATAATAATATTCCAAAACCTTTCCACAGAACTCCACTTGAAAATATCTAAACTGTCCCTTTAAAATGGATCTGTCCTAGGAAAGCTTGATGACTACAGATGGCGTTTTACAGCCAACTTTACATTTGAACAATCCTGCACCTGGGCCTGCTGAGCCTGACTTCAAACTGTTGTGTAATGAGCCATGAGTGTTTTATTCAAGGACATGTTTGATAGTTGGAGACAAGGAGACAATTTTACCTGCTCAGTTTGCTCATTCACTCCACAGTTTCTAGTCAGAAAGGCTGCTTCTTTAACCTTTAAAGCACCACTGCACTGTATGATGTATTATACGCTGAAGAGTAACTGAAAAGCCTCTCATGACGCTCGGTAACCTTCTTCGGTGGACGTGATTAATGAGAGCATCGACGAGAAGAGTTAAACATACTGTGTGTTGTATTAAAATCCCCGTCCCTGCGCTGGAATATGTTTAACCTCCAAAATCAGGGCAATGACGGCCCACTTCTTCTTGTGCAAGATCACAATGTTGACGGACTTCAAAATTAAGGAGAAAATGTAGCTCTTCTGTTAAAATATCACTCCCTCTTGATAGCTTGGTCATTTTTACACACCGAGTTATCCTTTCAGCACAAAAAAAGAAAAAAAAAAGAATTGAAGTGTAATTGAAATCAGCAGGTTAATGCTATCAGCGCGAAACCTGCCGCAGGGAGAAAGGATGGAGATTGGATCTGATAAGTTATTGTCAGGCGGCCGCTTCACCGTATGTACCGATTTTAACTTTTGGGGCGTTTAAAATAAAATCGTGTGAGAGCGTCTTAATTAGAATTTGCCTTACAAAAACCCCGCTGACACTCATTCTTTGTACTCAAACTAAGAGGAACAAAGTACTCACAGCTAAGTGGCACCAGTTTCTTTTTATTCAAAGAGCCAACACAGATTCAGGAACACATAAAACAGGCGTATCTCTAAGAACCAAATCCTGTAAAGAACTTGAGTACGTCTTTTTTTTTTAACGTGACTGAGGCACATGATGTAATTACTGGAAGTTATTAATATACACATTGACATTATACTTTAAGAACCTTTACTTTGCTATTCATAAAAAGGCAAAAAGAGGATTAACTGCAAATTTTGACAGTTACTGAACTCTCTGCCAGGTTGCTGGCAGGACTTCTGCATCCAGATGCCAATATTGTCTGGAAAAGAAAATTAATGTTTCTTGTGGTAGGATTATTTCCTAAAATTTCTTCCAGCCGTTGATGACTTTGTTAGCGGCGTATTCGTTGCACTTTGGCTTTGCCTCTGCTGGTGCACACTTATGGTTCAATAGAAAAGCTACGCCGGGAAAAGTTTTTTAGCCTATTATTTGGAATCTATAAAACTTGTTGCTTTTTATAAATGTTAACCTGTAAAAAGCAATATTTTTTTCCAAATTTTCTTCTTTTTATAAAGGTTGCAGTTAGATTTTATACCTTTGCAGCATGAAGGTTCTATTATCTAAGTTTTCTTTTTTCTAACACTCTTTTTCTTTGCTTTTATAATCTTTATTTTTCTTTTTTTTTTTTCTTCTCTCTCTGCAGCCCTGTACTGCTCCACCCCAGACTCCCCCCTCCACGGCTCCATATCTTCCCAGACTGGAGGTCACGTCAACAGCGTGGTGCGGTGGGCTTGTGACCGCGGTTACCGCCTCATAGGCAACGCCACAGCAACCTGCCGCCGCACTCTCCTGGGATACCATGCCTGGGACTCGCCAGTCCCCGCCTGTCAAGGTGTGTTGGAATTTATGTATAGTTATCACTAAATTCTATTAAAGTTATGTGTTACTATGGCTTACTACAGTAATCTGGAGAATGAATTCTGGTTAAACTTTCTGATTTTTTTAATGTTAAATGTTCAGTTTTATTAAATATTTTCAATTATTTTTGTCTTTGTCATCTGGATTCTGTTCCGTTTTGCTGTATTGCATTACAAGGCTGCAGTATTTTTTTCCTTTCTTTTTAATCCTTATAAAACTAAATCCGAACCTGCTGTGAAATTTAAAATAGTTTTAATCAAGAGGAAAGTTAGGATGAAACGTCTTCACTGACCTCAACTGTAGCTAATTGATAAAGCTGTCAAAATAGATGCATTTATCGTCAATTAATCGGGTGATTATTGTTGCTTTCTCTTTCATTTCCCTTTTTTTTATGAGTGAAAACAACTTTTAACAGCCACTATTGATAGTCAAATGAAGAATGCAATGCAAATTGTCAAAGCTGTGTAAATTCACAATCTATTTAAAGCACCGATGGCCAAAGTTCTGCAGCGTGGACGTATTTTATGAGTAATGGTTTGAAGTTGTGATCAAAGTTTCCTTTTTTGCATATTTTTAGTTGGTTCACTACATTGTTGATCTTGTAAACGATCATGCATATTAATAAGTCTGTTTGAATCTCCAGAAATATTTAATGGTACAAAAACCTACCCGCACTCGCTGACATTTTGTTTGCTTGTTGTCATCTCAGTCGGCGTGCATCTCTCTCTCTCCTCTCCTTAGCTGTCTCATGTGGGCCACCCAAGGCTCCTATAAATGGCGGGGTGCTAACGGCTGACTACTCTGTGGGAACGAGAGTTTCCTATTTTTGCAACGACGGGTACAGGCTCTCCAGTAAAGAACTGACATCAGCCATCTGTCAGCCTGACGGAACATGGAGCAACCACAATAAAATCCCAAGATGCTCTGGTTGGTGACACACTTGGGTATTGGTGCAAACTATGCAACAATATACCAGATTTAGACATTTATACATGCGATAAATAGGCATTTTTTTTTAAAGTTACACAAGCAGCACGGTTCTATGAACTTTTTTAGCTTCACTCTTATTTACTGTCTTGATTTTAAAATGGGACTTATTTTTCCAGGGTTAGATTTCATAAAGCTCTTTTTGTCTCTTCACTCTCCCTCCGTTGCTTTAGTTGTCGTATGTCCGAGCATCGGGTCCTTTTCGCTGGAGCACGGCCGATGGAGGATAGTCAACGGATCTCATTACGAGTACAGAACTCGCATTGTGTTCACCTGCGACCCGGGATACTACAGATTAGGCCCCGCCCACATCCAGTGCTTAGCCAATGGGGTGTGGAGCTGGAAGAACGAGAGGCCGCACTGCCAGGGTGAGTAGGACTGTGATAAGACAATAAAAATAACAAAACCAGTGTGATAGGCCATGGACAAGTGATGAGCAAGCTAGTTTTTAAGTTTTTTTTTTCCAAAATCTATTTATTTTGCATTGTGTGCTATATAGAGACGTTTACTATAAGAAATAATGTAAAATCTGTTAAAATTTCTTTTTTATACATTATTAATGATGTAGAAATTTGACTGACAGGTGAGTTTCATTCTTTACCTGTCACCCTAAAAGGACAAACTTGAAATGTCAGAATAGTTGTCTAAAAACTGCAGTGTGACATGATGGTGGCAAAATACATGTTTTATGTCCAGTCAATGACAAAATGACAATTTTCACCCTGAGGCACTAAAATCCCCGAGTGTGTGATTTCATCAGATGTAAAAAAAAAAAAGCAAAGAAACATGCAGTATGTTTGCAGAATGTTAGCTAGCTTTTAAGCTCATTTACAACAGGTAATATGTTAATTGTTCATAACCTTCCCACACAATCCATCTTTAAAAGATCTGAACTAATGCTTCAATTTATTTATTGCAATAACTGCATCTTAGGAAAAAAAAGCTAAGTGTTTTATTTAATGCAGATGTTTTATTGAAAAGCAACCATAAACTTGCAAATATTTTTTTCCACATTTGGGATGCCTTGTTGTTTTAAAACACAGTAAATCACTGATTTTACAACAAACTGTGAGCAAGTCCTGCTGAGAAGTCTGCAGATGAAGCAAACGGTGAAATGTTGAAACTCTATCAGATGCCTTAAAGGGGCTATATCATGTAAAATCAACTTTTTTGAGTTTTTTATCATGTTATAATGTCATATCAAAAACATGCCCAAAAGTCTTACTTTGACTCATTCATGCATGTTGGAGAAATCCTGTAGTGTCCTGAGGCAGCAGGCAGGGAAGCAAAAACGACAGGTTGGGACTAGAACCAACTTTTGGGACCATCTCCACTTCTGGGATGTGTCTCCAAGCCGAGCTTCCTCATCACGGAACTCACCTCCCCACCCCCCGCCCCGCACACCCCGCCCATGACTTCTGCAGGCTCTGGGCAGTAACAAAGCAAACAATGGGTGAAACTGAAAGTGAAACTGAAACTGTCTGCTGAGCTCCTAACACTACTTCTCACTCAGTGAAGCTCTTTTCAAATTCAAAATATCTTTGAGGAAATGTATTTTCAGATGTCAAGTAAATTGCATCATAGCGCGCTAACCACCACCTCCCCACCCCACCCCCACGCTGAAATGGGTGGGACAGAAGCGGAAGGCATTTCTTAAAGAGACAGAGGCCAATTTCAAGGTGTGTAGAAGAGGAAGTGATGAGAAGATATGTTTATTTTCTATTTAAACATAAAAAAGCATTTTAATAACAACTAAAGGTGACAGATACTTTATTATGGTATAGTATTTAAATGTATGCCCTGGAAACACATGATATTGCCCCTTTAAGTCTATGTTTTGGCATTTGGACAGACTTCAAACACATTTTAGATGTGTTCAGTGTAGGAGTGAGAATTTGGATTACTGCACAAACTGTGTAAATCTGAACCAGTTTAGAAGTCAGAAAGTTGCAGTTGTCTTAATTTTAGCGTTATGGATCATGTGTTTAGAGTCAGTATGATTCCAAACACAGCTCAAAGTCTTGAAACTCAACTCAAATTTTTTTGATCTGGAAAAAAATGAAAAAAGTAGGTGTATCTCTTGTCATTTTTAAATATTTTATTGTATTTTTTTTTTTGCTAATTTGATGCTTTCTAAAGATGACACAGTCATCATTCAAGGTGAAACTTTTATTCTTTCAGTCTTACACGTAACCTCAAAGAGTTGACATTTTACCTGTCATTCAAGCTCTTTCTTCTTGGGATTCCTTGACATTTTGAATCACTGCTTTTTCCCTCCCTCATGGAATATTAAGGCACTTGGATATTTACAGGTATTTTCCTCTCAAGGCAATTCAGGGGGAAGAGGAGGGAGAAAAGCCGTGGCCACTAAATGTGCCTGCAGCTGCTCAGCCTGCCACGATCTGTGGCGTTTCTCACTGAAATGAACAGCTCCTCTAATTAACCCGGCGCTAAACTGGCTCACAGCTGATTTTTAAATTGCTTGTGTCCAACCATGTGTTACAGTCATCTCCTGCGGCGAGCTGCCTTCTCCTCCCAACGGGAAGAAGATTGGTACTCAGACAACATTTGGGGCTACAGCCATCTTTACCTGCGATGCTGGCTTCATGCTGGTGGGGTCAGCTGTCAGAGAGTGCCTGTCATCTGGGCTTTGGAGCGGAACAGAAACACGATGTTTAGGTGCGTAGCAACAGAAAAACTCATCTTTGTACTATTTTACACTGTACACTATGGATTTTTATAGTATAGCTGCTGTTTTTACACTTAAATTAAAGGCTCAGGATGTCCAACATACACCAGAAAAAACACATACATGCAATAAAACACACTACCATTACATGGGGGGGGGGGGGGGGCAGGAAAGATGTGGTTCACGTCAATCTAATGAGGACAGGCACCAAAGGAAGGTCAGTGCCCTACACCTCATACCCGCCTTCACAGCTGCTCCTCTTCGACCTCCTTCACCTCACAGGAAACCCCATACAGTGAGCTTCAGCTGTGTGCTAAACTAATTCAGAATTGTATTTATATATTTATATAAATCACACAGAACCAGTAACTTTTCCTCTGTCAGGGTGGCAGCTAGAGGTAACATGTTATGACAACAAGCTGCCATTTCTCAATGAAGCTTTTGTAAGGCCTGCCAAAATACTTCACAGGTGGGGAGAAATGCAGCTTACACTCGAATATTTTTAATGAAACAGAAACTAAACTGACAATGAGGCATAGTCTTGTCAAAAAAAAGAGGCCATGAACAGCAGCTCTGTTTAATATACTATACATGTACACTAAATTGTCTTGTTTGGGATTCTTGACCAGCCTTTATTGTCTTTTCAGTCCTAAGTGCAATTTAAAGTTGATGTTTGCAACATGTTGCAATTTTTATGTTATTCTGTTCTTCATTATCAGGATGATGTGATCATTTACTTGTATCAAATTTTAATCGGCAACCCTTGTTTGTGGCTGTTGATTGCGGTTGATTTCCGTCACTCTGCATCATATTCAAGAAATCAAAATTGCATTCCCCCCACAACGTCCGATGACAAAGTTAACATGAAGTAACCCTTTTTTTTTCTCTTCTTGTTCCGTTCGCCTTCCCTGGCTGTGTTTAAATTGTTAGCTTTTGCTGACATCAGGGATGCAGTGAAGGTTTTATCTACTGTAAAGAACAAAATCAATACTCAATCCAAAAATCTCTGTGAGCAGAAAATACACACTCCCTTTTGACTTTGTGAAATGGCTTTTAAAGCGTCTTGTGTTAGCACTGTGCATCAATCAGGCCTTTGTGAATGAATCTGTTCAGGGAGTAAAGAGAACCCCAAATGCTGTTTGCTGAGCTTTTTGTTTATTTTTTTTACCGACCTGGGCTCGTTAGGAGTACAAATATGATACATCTTCATTTGGAAATGGAAGATGTTGTCAAAGAGTTTAAGGAATAACTGAGTCATAATTTACTTTGTAACAGAAACTTTTTATTTGCTGATCAAAAAAAACGTTTTATTTGAAAAAGCTGATGTTTTATAATAAAAAACAATACTTTATATGCATATTAAATTTGTTTTCATGGTGCTCGTATGATTAAAAATTTAAGGCTTTAGTTGCACTTACAGTAAGACTACTTTTTTCAAAGTAGTTGGGTTGTAAACACTATAAAACAACAATTATAAGCCACTTCTTACGCACTAAGTGCTATACAATTAATTTACTTACTGTCAAACCTATACAGAACAATGTAGAAAGTATAACCTGCTAACTTAAATGCCTCCAAATAATAGTTGCAACATTCAGCAATTCAGAAAAACAGATATAAATTAAATTGCATTTGCACATATTTATTTATGAATGTACTGTATTAAATACATTTGCCTGCAAAAATAGCCCCAGTTGTTTTTAAGATGAAAAAAAAGTTTTTTGTGAAACAGCAAGTTTTTTTCTGTTTTGTCATTGCAAACGATGGAAAACCAAGAAAGCAAAAAAGCCCAAATATGCGAGAAATTGGTTCAGTGTTCTAAAGGTCCTGCTGCATCAGAGCGAAATATAAATACACTGAATTAATATTTGTGTTTCTCTCTCAGCTGGTCACTGTGGAATCCCAGAGGGCATCGTAAACGGCCAAGTGATCGGGGAGAACTTTGGGTACCGCGACACAGTCGTGTACCAGTGTCTGCCTGGCTACCGGCTCATAGGCTCGTCCGTCCGGATCTGTCTCCAAGACAACCAGTGGTCCGGTCATTTGCCCATCTGCACACGTAAGAACATCGCACAAACTCACGTTTACTCGTCACGGCTCTGAACTTCTGTTTAATCGTTGCCTACGTGAGAAAAGTTAGTCACTGTGAGATGAGATAACCCTAACATGTTTATGTTAATTTGATGATCTACAACCGGTTCAGTAAAAATTATTTTCAAAAAATAATGTGCAACTTTAATTGTTTGGAGAGGATTGTAAGCACAGTTTGACAAAAAGCTCCATTATTTGTTTAAATTTTGATTACTGTGTTTCCCTTTGTTGCTAAAGAGTCAATTTGAAACAACTCATAAATCACTTTGGAGATATACGATCAACACCTCATGTTTTAGGTATTTGGTGTGATAATGTTTTCCAGTCATTTTGAATACCAAAGTAAGGCCAACAGTCTTCTAGTCCCTCGTCAAAACTCTGTAATGTAGCAAGTGTAACGTGATAAAATCCAATCACCCTCCTTGCTGTGAAGCTTAGCACAGTTTTCGTCAATAACAAAGGAGGAGAGCGACTCAAATCGAAGTTTAACTGCCTTGAAAATGGAATGAAAACACACTGAAGTGTATTGACAAGACTTTTTTTAATGGATGAAGCAGAATCAGTCAATGGTGGAAGTCTAAATCACAGTTTGGCCTTGGATATGATGTGATCCAGCATATCATTAATTAAAAACATCTTTGTTGTCTAGTCAAAGCTTAGCTGTAAGTAAGCTAAACTTCACTGTAAGTAAGCTAACGTGTGTGTTTTTTGTGAAGTGCTGTGAACTTCATTTGTTTTAAAAACGTACAAACTTCTAAACTAATTTTAACATTTTGCTATAGTGAAACCCCACAAAGTTGCATCTCACAGTTCGCAGACTCAGTCTTGTGCAAATTTTTTCATGTAACCTAACTACTAGCAGAAATTAGGAATACAATACAGTGGAGCTCATTGTAAGGAATGTCAATTTATTTTTCTCTTGTGCTTTTTGGTGAGTTTTCAAGCTAAATTACTAAGATCAACATCACTTATAAAGTTTATAAGATAAATAACAAAGTAAATTCAATTCCACAAAAAAAAAAAAAACACAGTACGTGATGCATGCTCTGTGCCCATGCTCCACCCAGATGGCAGCATTTCTGCCTTCTAACAGTGCTGTGTGGCGTGCAGCTGCTAATGGTTTCATGTGTGTGTGTTTCTGATTGGTTCTTTTTGCATTAAGATGTCACCCAAATATCTAATATTTGTGTTTTTTCACAATTCGCCAATACTTTGAGATCTTAACCCCTGTGAAAATTTGGAATTCATTTTGTTTGTTTAGTTTCTTAACCAAAATCTGGAGCAGAGTATGTTGTTTGCTTAATCAGTGTGCATTGCCAATGCAGTGCACACTATTGTGATTCGTTCCCCATCCTAGTCATCCTCTATTTCGGCACGCTTCTCCTCCTACATACTGCCATTGTAATTTGTATCTGTAAAGCTCCTGGCCGAATGCAGGCTATGCTTTTTGATGCCTATACAACTTATGGTTTTTGAAACAATATTTTTTAAACTTTTTTGATGTGTGTCAATAGAGCCTTGTATTGGTCCAATACTGCCCCTGATTTATGTGCTCAGCTTGGTACTGCACCATACTTCAATAATATTTAAACTCAGTCCTTCAGTGATCACAACACAAATTTCTTTGTATGTTGATGTTTTACTATAATTTTGTCTTGTAAGCATCTTACATTATATTGCTTTATTGTTGTAATATATTGCAGTTTTGTGTCAACGATAGTCATTGGCAATGTTGCCTCTTTCTACATACAGGAAAAAAAATAACAAAAACACTGGGACTATGTTTTCACACAGCTCCAGTGGTCTCATGGTTAATGCCATGGACTTTCATGTGGGAGATCAAGGTTCAAAACCTAGCTACAGCAACTTTAACAAACTTCAAACTTCATATTGTCATACAATTACCCTGATTACAAACACCTGCTGACTTGACAAGCACAAGCTGGTATAGAAATCACATTTGAACTTGCTCAAAGCTCATTCTGCAAGTCCACTGCTGCTGACAAAGGCATGCTACAAGGCAATACACACTTGTTTTTACATCGTAAAAACCCATGTCTAGTTAGACTAATTATTCATCATAGTGGCAAGTCTGAGATATCAATGGGAATTGTTGCAAAAAGTATGAGCAGTGGTTTTAAATTGTAGCATTGCACCAAAATATTCACAAGACTTTTTATTTGTTGTTGTTTTGGGTAGAAATGCCATACCAAAATGCTCTTGACTTCATTTGATGCGTCTAGTTTGCATTCTACAATGGCCTCTTTTGTTGAATGTGCAACCAATGGTGGCAAGGATCTGCAGATCCACACCAACAGTCTCAAAAGACCAAAGGGACAAATCTGTCATACTGGCCCGGGTGAGATTATTATCAGAGCTTGAGGACACAACAGAAGGCTCTGACGTGTCCAGGCTACTGTGAACATTTTCTAAAATTGGTCAGCCACTGTGAGTGTCATGAATTTCTTTTGGCCACACGCAGGGCACTGTTGAGGTGCTTACGAGGCCAATTACAGGCCTCTCTCCCCAAAAAGTGACAGCCCAGTCGTTGACTAAATTGAGACAATGGAAGGAAGACAGAGACTACACTATGGTAGATGGAGGCTTTTTGTTTTTGTTCATACGACTCAAAAACAAAGCAGACTGTTAAATATGAGGACTTAATAGCAGGCTTTTGTGGGGCTGTATTAGAGATTTTGGAGGCCACGCATCTGTGCCTCTGTGGCCAGGATGGTGTATGCATCACTTGGCGCATTGGGGTGTGTCTCAATGCTGTGCTGCTTTTTATTGAGGTTATTCATGCAGGAGTTATTGAGGGAAATCATTTTACAGCCAAATTATACTGTAATTATGGAGATGAGAAGCTCTTGTTTTCAGACACAAACACAGAATGATGATGAGACCATGAAATGTGTTCGAAATACGTGTGCGTCTGCAGCCACGGGGTATGCTGGCAGTGTTAGATGGCTGGTTGTCTTCGGCGTGTAAACAAACTTCTGATTCATGCAGATCAACTGCCTTTGCTCTCTCGTCGTGTCCTGCCTTCATTTTCTCAGCTCGGCTCTCGCCACCTTTTTCTCCTCTTGTGCCCGTTCTTCCTCTCTTCTCCTTCCCACTTCAATGTTTTACCACCCGGTGATTCTAAATTTTTTTTCTCCTCCCCAGTAAATTCCAAACTGAACGGTGTGAGCGGTGTATTGTAGAGGGGGTCTGGCAGTAGCTGTGGGACGCCTATTTGTGCAAACATCACACATACACTTTAAAGTTCCTGCGAATGAAGTTAACAAGATGAATAATTATGACTCACAATGACAAACAGAGGGCACTAAGTGCTAACACTAAATATGGCAATTTCCGAAATAATGACCTTAAATTGGAATCCCAGCTTTGTCCTCTAAATCATCTGTCAGTCTTATGAATATTTATGAGTGGCTGTAGCAAAGGCAGAATGGAGATATTTGGCCTGAATTTGTGCTCGTTGTGGTTTTTCAGCCAAAATACAGACATGATTGAAGATATTTGAGTCTTGTTTTAGAGAGCTACAAGAACCAGTGGTCAGATTTAGATGTGTTATGTTGCATCTGTGAGTATTTAGGATTTTTAGTGATGGGTATAAAAGAAAAATTTTAATCGCGATTAATCTCACTTATTTTTATTTTTAAACTACTGTGCTACTATGGCTGAATGTGAATTCATTTGTAATAAACACCATGTGTGACACACTATTACCATTTTTAAATGGTGTTTATCTTTTTATGTCCTTATTGTTTATCTGTTATTGCCTATTGTGCTTTTTTCAGTGCTGACAACTGGGACCACTGAATCTCTCTGTCGTTCCTCATATACTCATTTGGAATTACAATAAACATCCTTGAATTTTTAATCAAAATGAAATTATGACTCAAAGATATTTATATCATTTCTCAGGTACCTGTTTTAGATTTTTAAAAAAGTGAATTGCATTTTCAAAATCTTTAAACAAATAAGGCAAAGCAAGCATGTGCTATTTTTTTTTCCATTTTTGTCCCACACACTGAACAGTCTTGTCTGCAGAACCCTTTTTCTGTTTGTTACGGTGGTTTGAAGTGATATTTCAGAACCACTCTGGCGGTAAGACAGTTCAGCGTTGGAGCACTTACAGACAACTTTCTATTTAACCAGCCCGCTGTCAGGAAGAGTTTTAAAATAAAAATGCCATAAAGAATCCGGTAGCTTCCGTCATGTTTTTTTTAGTAAGCAAATAGTGATCAAGATCCCCCNGTGCATGTGTATGTGTTCATAATCAGTGAATGAAGATCAATATGAATAAATAAAAAAAACTTGGTAATGCATGTAAAAAATACTGTATAATGCTGTTAAATATCATCTCCGTTAACATGATGGTAATGAACGTTTCCTCCTTCTACCTTTGAATCAAATAAAAGCTTTATTTTGCTTTCAAAAGGTTTAATTTTAATAATAAAAATCAATCACAATTGTCCCTTGTATTAGTACTCTAACTAATCCACAAATTCACTCTGTTTTTCCTTTAAGTCATCAGCTGTGGTCACCCAGGAAGTCCCATTTATGGCCGTACAGTGGGAAATGGCTTCAACCTCAATGATGTGGTCAGCTTTGTTTGCAATCGAGGTTACGAAATGGAGGGGCCCGCACGTGCTCAGTGCCAGGCCAACCGCCAGTGGAGCCATCCGCCCCCAACGTGTAAAGGTGGGGAGAAAAGTTAAGTGTATTGACCCCTAACTTTATTTATCCCCACTTTTTCACACCACCAGACATCTCTCTTTATTTACCATTACAGTCTATTGCTGCAAGAGAACTTTTCCACCCACCACGTATTCGCCATAAATCTAAACATGATAATATGCAGTTTAGTCTTTCATTTGAAGGCAACTACTGAGGCAACACAGAATCCAAAACTAAAGTTTCCAAGGGGAGAATAAAGTTTGTTTTCTTAAATTTTATTGTGTTGTTTCAAATCAGTTTACATCAGTATGTTTAATTACATATTTTGTCCACATATTTTATACAATTCTTGCTACATCTGTATTTACCTTGTGTTTTGAATGACACATGGTCAAAATGGCATTTTTATGAGACATTTCAGTGTTTGCACTAGCTTGGACAAAAGTTGCTGTTCTTTACAGAATGAAATGTCAATAAATAGTCTACATCCAAAAATGCAGCATGATGATAACAGGCCATAACACTGCTGGGATCCTTGATTTAATATAGACCAATCTGCCTAACTGCATCATCACTTAATTGCCTGCGTTTACCCTTTTAAACATCAGCTTCATTCATCACCTTCCTCCTCACCACATCCTTCTTATTACTCCCTACATTATTGCTCAGAAATGAAATCCAAGGGCGAGATGCTAGAAAAGGGAAAAGGGAGAAGAGAAATGACCCTCCCCGGTTTATGCCAAATAACACATGCGTTCTTCCTGTGTGTCTTTCTATTTCTGTGTGTCTTTGTGTCTCACTATGTGTAGTGGTCAATTGCTCCGATCCTGGTATCCCTGCCAACTCCATTCGGCAAAGCAAAATAGAGCATGGCAACTTTACGTTTGGCACAGTGGTCTTCTATGACTGTAACCCAGGGTATTACCTGTTTGGATCACCTGTACTTACCTGCCAGCCTACAGGACAGTGGGACAAACCCCTTCCTGAATGTATAGGTTTGTAGACCATTTTCTTATATATCATGCTTAAATTTTAAGTGCCACAAGTGAATCTCTTGGGTTAATCGTAATTTGAATCGTCTTTAGTTCTTGATACAAGTCTCAGAAAGTTGAATTAAAATGATTTCTCTATCAGTTATCTCACTCTATTTATTCTTCTATCATCCTCACATCTCTAGTCGTGGATTGTGGCCTTCCAGGGTCTCCCCCTAACGGCATGCTGAGTGGAGATAAGTTTACATTTGGTTCCACGGTTCGATACTCCTGTCTGGGTGGGAGACAGTTAAAAGGAGAATCGTCCCGGACGTGTCAACTTAATGGGATGTGGAGCGCCCCCATGCCCTTCTGCTCTGGTAAGCATTTTAACTCCTGTTGAATATACAGGCTCCAGTGTCCACCCTATCAGGAGCACTGATAGATAGGCATTGCGCAGAAGAGGCGAGACGTCTAAAATTTGTACTCACCAGAGTGGAGAGCAGCTTGTGCCTTTGCTTCCTGCACTTTCTTAAAGCCTTTGCACTGAGTCAGAGGGATAATGGGGGCATGGATGAGCATGCAGGGGAAAGATTGATGCATGAAAAGGAATATATTTGTATCTGTCTGCAGAAAGGGCTCTGGAGCATAACCTCGCCTTACACTCAGACTCGGCTCTCAATCACAAGCGTTTCTCTTCTTGCAATCAAATATCTGCAACTTGTGAACTTTTGTTTGGTGTTATTTCAGAAGATGTAAGGCTGCTTTTTCCTGCGGCTGAGGGATGCTCTGAACTGATGGATAAAAGTGGATAAAACAGGCACTGTCATTGTTCTGTAATTTGCTTTACACGGGCATATTTTCTTCCCACTGAACTTCTGTATATGCATAGCTCAACACTTATTAGGCTAGATTGTCTCGGCGGACAGGATTCTTTCTTACCTTTCATCATGTAAACAAACACTCTAAGTTATATGGTTCTCTGTTGGCTGGCTGGAGGCATGATTATGGCTCTTCAGACTGAAAGGCTCCCAGCTGCTGCTTATATAACAAGCATGGTGAGAATGCATTCCAGACGACTTGACTAAGAATACGCTGTTATTTACAGCAATTTCCCAGGGGTTGCATGGGGGTGAGGAAGGGTAATAGTTTTGGAAGAAATGATTCATGGTTTCTACCTGGCAGGTCTGTGCTAGAGCCCTGCAGAGATAAAACTTCAACCCAGGATAGCTGTTCTAGCTTTGTTATTCTGCAGTGTGGGAACTGATGACAAACTTATTTCTAATGCGATGTTTACTCTTTCTCAAAGAATGCTAATACTATAATTTAGTTAGAAATACACACTGGTATTATAGTTGGTAGTTTATTTGAATGTTGAAAACACCTTGAACGTTTTCAGCCTTAGCTGCTGGAATATTAAAATCTGAAAAACACAGGACACCAGTCTTCTTCAGGGTTTTTAGCGCCAGATCAGATATTTGTTTAAAACGTTGCCAATAACTGTTGGAGTCAACACTCTATCAATCCAAAATAAACTCAAATTCAAACACAAGTACAAATGGTGCAAAACAGTCCCCATTCAACTCAAAGAGGAGTCAGTAACCTGTAAAGTGTGATTTGGTGAAAAACTGCCCATCTAAGGAAGCCAGGTAAAGCAGGGGTGGATTGCACTCAAGTAAGAGCAGCACTAACATTTTTTTACTTTAATAAGAGTAAAACGAGTACTGAGAAACTGATCTTAAAACTGGATTTAATATTTAAAAATGTCGTCAAACTCACAAAAAATAAAAAAGTTTATGTGCAAATTCTGGTGTTTTTATATACTAAAATGAAGAAAATCAATACAAATAATGATACAATACAAAATAAAACAAATCCAGGATTAGAAACACTTATCCAAGTCAATTTATGTATAATGTATGTA